ACTTAACTTGCAATATCAGGGACAACATTTACTTGAGTGTGGTCGTATTACAATGAGTAAAAGGTACGACCGTGATGAATGTGATCGCATCCTTAGATTGCAACTGTCCTTGACCAATCTAATAGCTGACTATCCAATGTAAGATTCAGTACAATGGGCAAAACAAAAAAATATCCAAACAGACAGCATTAGAAAAACTTGCTAACCATGCTTATCACACTATGAGGATATTAAGGCAGCCCCCAGCTTTGTTGCAATTAATGAATACGCAACAAAACTAGCCAGTGACGGGCTCAGAAACCAGAGAAGCGGCAATACCGTATAATTCAATGATAGCATATCATCAATAGATTTCATTCAATCAGCCGTTGTTTCTATTTTTCTCCTGCTTCTATTCTTCATTCTCTAAAACACTCTCGGCTTCTCTGCAATTCGCAGCAGGCAGTGGCTAAAGAATGTGATCACACGATAAGGCAAAGTAAATAGAATTATGGAGCTCGACCCACTACGGTAGCTGTGAAGGCCTATGATGAGGGAACAATGACAACCGAGACTGACGCAGCATATAAACAGGGCACTGAGTCCATTAACACAGATACAACAGTTCGTGACATTTGCCATCCATACTAATCCAAGAAGTTGCTTAGAAAATACTTCTTTTGTCGTGCAGTTTACCCTGTTGAAGAACAGGTTTGTAAAGGGAAGGTTTGTAACCACTGGAATATCGATCTTTCTTGCAACTTCCACGATGGGACTATTTCTTGCAAGCTACGTTTGATGAAGTTCATGATGGAGCGCTGATCTCCATTTTCATACCGTCGGCCAGGAGTGCTTTATTTTAGAAGCACAGTCGACAGTAAGTATACTGCATAGTTTACTGTTTCCTTTGAAAAAAATAGCTGCCCATTTATCAATCTCGGAAGGAAAAAAAGATAAGTTATTTGACCGGGGATCGAACACGCGACTTTCGGTTCTGTATCCGGAGTTCGACTTGTGAGTAACCCCAGTCAGTACAGGATGATCTACCTTGTGCAAGACAAGTGGCATGACTGGGCGGCGAAATAGTATCAGGATAGTTCCTGGATAGCATCAGGAAAATGAGATTTAAACAGTATTCTTCGTGCCGCTTAAACAGGCAAAACTAGCGAAATTAAACAATAATACTGCCTGAACTAATAAACCATTCGGTATCTGGCTGAATGGCGGATGACATACGACGTTGTCCGTTTGCTGGCATCATCAATGAAAAAATCTGCTTCTTACAATGTGCCATCAAGCTCTAATACGAAGTAGAAAATTAAAGAATAATAGCTGAAGTCATCATAAATGCAAAACAGCGTTGTATATCATTTCAACAGTGTAGGTTTCTGATTTACAAAAAAAGTCATGCCATGTACAGTCAAAAATGCAGCAGTTTTATGTACCTCTGTTATAGCTGACCGTTGAGTTAGTAACCTGTACGGGGCTGTCACAGAAGGTCACTCTGATTCCATCGCCGGCGCTGCGCACCACGTTTAAGTAGTTCATAAACGGCGGTGTTCCTCTGACCGTGATAGCCGCGGTAGCGTTTAAGATTCGCCTAGAAAGTGAATATGCACAGCTGATTAATGCTTTTCAAAACTCGTAATGATCATATGCATTGCTCAGCTTCAATCATTAATATGAGTTACCATTATTCAATTATTATAAGCACAAATAATACCATTTTAGACTGTTATCTTACAGTCAGCCGTTTTGCAACGCAACACTGTTTAACTTAAGGCGAACTATTCGTTTGCTTCCTCTTAGATGCTCACAGCCACCTAATTCTTGCCTTCAGACCCTATTAACGAAAGTGTTATATTATACATTTAAGGACTACTATTTAGCTATCTGTTTCCAGTGCATAACATTCAGACCTGGAATTAGCCTAATGTGTATATACAATGCATGAGCCTGTATATTTCTAGGGTAACGGATGTGCTTATACTCATGGCAGCAACCGTTGCACACGCTTACAAGCTTGACTTGATTTGATTTGACTTGACTAGCTGTAACTTTTACAAAACATCACAGAACACACTTTCTCACGAGATTCACTTTGAAATATACCTCGCACAAATGCCAGGTGCAGTAAGCGTTACTTACCGATGTCTTCAGTAAAAGAAACGAAGCACTACTTCAATCGCACTCAAGACTTAAAGGTCTTAGGCTACCCTGCCGATGGCAGTGATGTTTTGCTTGGGCAATCTTCAGAAGTCTCCCTGCGAGATGGGCACCACTCGTTGGTGCGCAAAAGAAACCGCCGGTGAATAGGCGGCTGTCTACGACCTTAACAATGAAAATTCGGGCGGGCCAATCCTGCTTCGTAGAGCAATCACCTGAAACCTGACTTGGCCGAGGTGAAGGGCAAACGAATGTTCTGTCCAAAACGCTTGACAGCATGCGTGGATAGTAGACCAAACATTAGCCAAAACTGAATGAAATGGAAGATCCAATAAAATGGCCACCCAGTCCCCAAGGTGTAGCTAGGATCAGACTACAGCAGCCAACATCGCGCGACGAACTTCAGCAGTGACAGACTGATATCCGCGGGGCTACAAGCGCCCCTTCTAAAGATCATGACTCAGATTGGGCAATGAGTTACGAGATGATATAGAGGCTTGTGGCGACCAATCGCCCGAGCCAGACTGACGTGGGTATCAAGATTTGGCAGGAGGGATCCCTGTAAATTATGAAGAAAGTTCAGCCAAGTTAAGTCAATCTTCAAGAGTAAATTTTTCAACTTTATGACCTTGAACGAAAGAGCAGTACAGCCTGAAATCGTAGAATGTTTTGGGTCATTGACAAATATCGCAGTCACGGTTGCTGTATGCAAAGCTGCCGGCGGCGGGCGACTGCTAATGCCAGATACGGCGAATAACAACCGTAAAATGGTACATGTTATACTGAGATACATAGCGCCTAATGGTGAATCACTCCTTAAGCACAAACACTATGTGGTGCTACCGAAACACTATGCTTCATAACCTTTTAGCTCCAAAACCTTACAGCAGCTGCAGACCACAGAACGAACTTCGAAAATCAAGCGAGCGTTTCTGCTTAAAAAGGCCCCTTGAAACACGAGCCGAAAGGTCGGTACTGGTCAACCACCGACTGACCTACCTGAATGTGC